AATTTTAGCTGAAATTGAAGAAACTAAAATTTGATGTTTTCTCTTTCCCTGGAGCATGCATGTGTGGGAATTATCCTAAACGTCATTTCTACCAGCAAGTTTATTTCAAGCAACGAAACAACATTCAGCATATTTATGTTCCTGTCACACAAGTAATTATACTGAGGATTCTGTTCTCATGCCAGGCTATATTTCATCCTTTACTTCAACATCCAACATGTTGATCTTCCTACCTGCCATTTACAACAGCTTTTGTTATTATTTGGCTAGGAATAACTTCTTAAAGTTGGCTATGTTTTCTCAACGATCATCACGCAATCTTGAAAACTTTACAAGTGGGAAAGATCTAACCTAAACATTTCAAATTATAACTGGATCTAATGTTGTACGGTTCACGGATGGCCCTGAGGAGGGCCTTTTCCATGCCCAGCTTGGGCTCCAGGCTCAGGTTCTTGGCTTCCCTTGCTCTAAGAATTGAGCAGAGCGCCTTACACCCATGGTGAGTGTTCCAGCTCCAAACAAGTGTTCACGGACTGGGAGAGTGAGCAGCAATGCAGTTTATTGAGCAAGTGAAAGTAAAAGGTTCCACAGCATGGAAAGGTGTAAGGGGACCTAAGAGGGTTGCCGTTATTAGCCTAGGCTGCCTAGGCTTATATACCCAAGTAATTCTGAGTGGCTGAGTGTTTGCCCCCTAGTCCCGTATGGGGAGAGGGCTTGTGACCATGAGTCACCTAATTTCTCCTCTTGAGTTGCCGAGTGTCTGCCCCCTAGTCCTGTGTGGGAGGAGGGCTTGTGACCATGAATCACCTAATTTTCTCTTTCTGGTGGTTGTTTCCTAGTTTCTATTGATCTTACAAGCAGTATCGGAATGTGGCTGAACAGCTAACTGATACTTTGAACACAGCCTCCTGCTATGGCTGAAGTACCCGTGTTGATCTTTTCCCATGCTAGGGTTTCCAAAAAGTTCCCCATTGACCCAAAAGGTTTTATTCCCTCAAAATGAAAGGGAATTTTTACATAGGCTGAATTTAACAATTGAATAGGTCTTGTATTTAACTAAATACTACTTCCATTTTGCAATTAAAAAAATTTTTTTGTAGTCATGAATTTTGCTCCTGGATCTCTTCTGGGCTTAAATTTGCAGTTTGGTTTCCTTGTCTATGAGAGATCCAAACAATATTATCTCTGGGGAAGCTCCATCTGGACTTTTCAATTTGATTCATCAAACTCTGTACTGGGGTTGAGAATGTTTGCTCCAAAGAGATATAGGTGCTTGATTTTCTTGATTACCCTGGTACTGCCTTCCCTGTCATAGTCTCCAATTTGTATATCCATGTCTTCCTAAAAGTCCTATAATGCTGTCTGTCATCAGTCACTCTCTGACTTAGTAGAGTGGCATCCTGTTGCTTGACAAATCAAATTTGCTCTCTTGAGACCTTACTTTTAGGACACCATAGTTGACTTCCACCCCACATAATCAATTTTTATTTCCCATGTTTCAGGTACCCTAGATGAAGTCAGGATGCTTGGAATCTTGGCCATGCACTACCGTCTACTGGATATGTGTCTCTATTATTGTCTATGTTATATCTATATTACTGGACCGCGCTATCAAGTATGGTAGCAATTAGCCACATGTGACTATTAAAATTAAATAAAATTAAGAATGTAGTTCATTTACCTCAGGCACTTTTCAAGTATTACTAGCCACAAGAGCGAGTGACTGCCTTATTGGACAACGCCAAGAGAACAATTCCATCACTGCTAAAAGGCTTACTGGACAGTGTTGGTATAAGATGCTTATGAATATGTGTGTATACATATATGGTTTAGGAACCCTTACAGAGAAACAAGGTAACTTGTGGACTGGACATCGTGGCTCACACCTGTTATCCCAGCCCTTTTTTGGGAGATCCAGGCAGGTGGACTGTTTGAGCCTAGGACTTGAAGACCAGCCTGGGCAACATAGCGAAACCCTGCATCTACAAAAATACACACTCACAGACAGCCGGGCATGGTGACACACGCCTGTGGTCCCATCTACTATGGAGGCTGAAGTGGGAGGATCGCTGAAACCTGGAGAAGTCGAGGCTGCCGTGAGCCAAGATCGTGCCACTGTACTTACTGTATATACTCCAGCCTGGGCGACAGAGTGATACCCTGCCTCAGGGAAAAAAAAAAAAAAAAAAGGGGGGGATAACTTGTGCTCTTCAGTCGGTTTGGGTTGAAATCCTATGACAGCCATTTACTACAACCTTAGCAAGATGCCTAAATCTCTTTTGATTTCAGTTTCCCCATCTCTAAAAATGGGCCTAATAATAGTAACTAGCTTGTGGGGTTGTTGTGGGAACTGAGATGGTACACAAAAAATGTTGAGAAAGTGCCTGAGATTTAGCTCAGTTTTAGTTCCTGACGCTAAAAGGTTTGCATGCTTCATTTCCTTAAATCCTCAGAGCCTTCGGGTGGGTAGCTTACTATAATTACTATGCAGATGAAGCAAAGTCTGAGCGGTTACAGCCAGAGTGTAAATGCTGTGACTCATTCAAATCTACGTCACCTGACTGTCTTTTTTCATTCACCTACCTCCTTACCTTGCTTTATTTTTCTCCTTATCACATCACAGATTCCTTACTTAATTTATCAGTCTTCCTCCTAATAGATGTAAGTCCCAGGCGGTCAGGAATGTTTGTGTTTTTTGTTCACTAACCTTACCCGTAGAACAGTGTTCCGGATAAAAGAGGTGCTCAACGGGTTGTAGGAATTTGGACACGTCTCTTAACTTCTCTGAGCCACAGCTCCCTCTCCGTAAAGTGAAGATAAGAAAAACTGCAGAGCTGGTGCAAGACTGGATTGGAGGAGGGACATAAGAGCGCTGTGCAAACCCGGATGTACGGTACGAAAGAAAGCTCTGCTCTAGGTTGCACCCGGTCTAAGCACTGTGGGGGCCGCGCAGTGAGCCCCCAGCTTCCCGGGACGCTCTCTTCCCCACCCGGACTCTCAGCCTCCAGCCTCCCAAAACCCACCTCCGGGTGGGGGGGGGGGGGGGGGGGGGGGGGGGGGGGGGGGGGGGGGGGCGGGGGGGGGGGGGGGGGGGGGGGGAGGGGGGGGGGGGGGGGGGGGGGGGGGGGGGGGGGGGGGAAGAGGTGGGGGCGGGGAGGACCGGAAGTACAGACGCTTTCGCCGGGCGCAGCGGAGCTGACGGACGCGCGGAGATGACGCAGGCAGCACCGGAAGCCGCTCCCCTGTGAGGCTGCGGACCGGGAGCGGCGGCTGCAGGTCCAGGTTTGTATCCGAGGCGGAGTCGGTCTGGGAGGGGAACTCTCAGGCGCCCGCGCCTCTGCTGACCTGCCGCGCCTTGGCTGTTTGTCTTTTTCTCCCTGCAGGCGCCATGGCTGCGGAGCGGACCCGGCCGCTGCGAGGCTCTGGCGGCCCGAGCGCGCCTAGTAGCTGTGAACCCGGCGCGAGGTCCCGGGCCCCGGGGCGCTCGCTCAGGTCAGTGCCGCGCGGAACACGATTCCGGGAGCAAGGGACCTGGGAGCGACGAATGTGTTGTTGGGGATCTGGATTTTAGAGATGGGAGAATAGGGTTTCGGAGTTACTGCCTCCTAGTGCCTCCATTTCCTTAGCTGCGAAATGAGTTAGCTGTGATGTCCCAGGGCTACCAAGCGTTTGAAAGATGAAGTGTGGTGAGGTGGTTTATGAAGTACAAAGCACTGTACTGCGCGATAATTGTGGGTATGCCATGGAAACAGGTGTGTATGTGTGGTGCTGCTTGAAGTAAAGCAAAGATAATTGTTAATGCTAAATAATAATGCTAACTGACATTTACTGTAGACTTGCAGTGTGCCAGGTACTGTGCTAAACGCTCTACGTGTATTGTCCTGTTTAACCCTCATAAAAACCCTTGTAGGTAATGCTCTTCGTGGCTGTATTTTACAAGTGAGGAAACAGGGCGTGAAGCATGTGAAGTGATTTGCCCAAGGTCACCCAGCAACAAGTGGAGTTGCAGAACCCATATTTTATAAACATTACTTGTATTCTTTCAAAGCTTTAAAAAATTCACCTTAAAACTAAAGGCTGTTTTTTTATAGTATGTTATACTTACGTGGTTTTCAGTTTTAAAAGATATACAATGAAAAGGAACCCCTCATTCCTGTTTTCCAGCTCCCCAGTTCTCTCTGGAGGCAACTAGAGTTATCAGTTTTTTGAATATTCAGATTACATTTTATGCAGATGTAAATTTATAGATGTGTATACATTTCTTTTTTTTTTTTTTTGAGGTGGAGTTTCCATCTCGTTACCCAGGCTGGAAGGCAATGGCGCGATCTCGGCTCACCGCAACCTCCGCCTCCTGGCTTCAGGCAATTCTCCTGCCTCAGCCTCCTGAGTAGCTGAGATCACAGGCACGCGCCACCATGCCCAGCTGATATTTTGTATTTTTAGTAGAGACGGGGTTTCACCATGTTGACCAGGATGGTCTCGATCTCTTGACCTCGTGATCCACCCGCCTCGGCCTCCCAAAGTGCTGGGATTACAGGCGTGAGCCACCGCGCCTGGCCCCTGTGTATACATTTCTAAAGCCTCTGTACTCTTTGATAGGAAAAGAGGGGGAAAGGAAGCCTCCTTCCATATACCACTAACAATTATGTTGCTTGCACTCTTGACTAGGCCAGGTTCTGATGGAGTAGGAGGGGAAAACATATTTACACTTTTTTTTTTTGAGATGGAGTTTAGGGTGGAGTTCAGTGGAGCAATCTCGGCTCACTGCAACCTCCGCCTCCGGGGTTCCGGCGATTCTCCTGTCTCAGCCTCCTGAGTAACTGGGATTACAGGTGTGTGCCACCACGCCCGGCTAATTTTTTTTTTTTCTGTGTGTGTGTGTTTTTAGTAGAGACGGGGATTTTCCATGTTGGTCNCTGGGATTACAGGTGTGTGCCACCACGCCCGGCTAATTTTTTTTTTTTCTGTGTGTGTGTGTTTTTAGTAGAGACGGGGATTTTCCATGTTGGTCAGGCTGGTCTCGAATTCCTGACCTCGTGACTGCCAGCCTCGGCCTCCCAGAGTGTTGGAATTACAGGCGTGAGCCACCGCGCCCGGCCTACACTGTTTTATCCAGAAGGTTCTTTCTCTAATAACTCAGAGTAGGTTTTGGAGGGGCGGGTGCAAAATATTGAGCCTGCTACTTCTTATGCCATTCTGGGAAAGCCATTCCACTTCTTAAGCCATAAAGTTCCTCATTATGTTAGGTAAGGGTGGGATTATTGATGCCTTCCATGAGGTTATGAAGATCAAATGAGATAATGTTTACCAGTGATACTTTTTCTTTAAATAAAAGCAATATAAATATGCGAGTTGCCTAAGGTAACATAATGGCAGAACCTGAGAGAGACTAACCCCAGGCTCTCATCTTCCAATTTAGGAGTCTTTTTGTTACATGACCCACTTCCTCAGAGGTGTGTGGTTATTGATACTGAAAGCAAGAGAGCAAGTTGAATGTGTTAACTCTCAGATAGGGGCGTGGGGCAAGGGAGCAAACAACAGAGAATGTGGATAGAATAAGGCACCTGCAGGGAAACTAGAGCCTCTAATAAACAAATGGGTGCTCTTCATTATAAAATTAAACCCCTAGTAAGTTTGAGCCCTTGAGTTTTTCTTCCAGGTGTTTTTAAGAGAAACTTTGTGATGATAGGGTTGAAGAAGAAGGTAGTGGTCATGTCTATTCCAGCCTTAGTGTCACAAAAATCTTGCCTGCCAGGTAATCAAAGTAATAAAACTAACAAAAAGTGTCATTTGAGTTTTAATCCTCTAGAGTGTACAGTGTGCTAAGCATGTCCCTGCTATGTTTCTGAGTTTCACCCTTCAAGTTAGGTGAAAGCTTCCATTTTACAGATGACAAAACTGAAGCTTAAAAGTTAGTTGGACATGCCCATAATCACATAGGAAGTGGCTGAATCAGTAAAGCATTTCTGACCTCCAAAGCATTTTTATTTATCACATTCTGCCTGTGTGTCCAGCTGTCCTTGACTGTTTGTGGTGATGGGAAACTCACTGCTCTGGAGGCAGCTGTTCTATTGTCGGAAAGCACTGAGATTTAAAAGCTTCTCATGATGAATCGAAATCCCATTTCCTGACGTTTGTGCAACCAGTATATGGTATTTCTAGAGACTGTCTAAAAGGGTCCAGTTTAGACCTGTTACCTTAGAAAGTGCCCTCCAAAGTTAGTTGATCCTTTTAGAAAAGAAACAGTTGGTGTTTTTAAATAGTGCATTCTGCAGTTAGTGAGACCTTCTTTATTAAGAAAAAAAATGCTTTTTTCAGAATAATCAGAGGTGAACTGCTCAGTTTTACAAGAGATTGAATGTTTAAAAGGCAATCTATGAGTTGGGAAAAATTTTTTTTATTAAGAGGAGAATATATAAATCTCAGACATGGCTGAGCTTTTTAAAGGTGCTCACTGAAAAAACTCTGTCCATAATCTTTAGTGGTGTCGTGGACACATTAATTTAGCATGTTGTAGTATGTCTCTTAGATATTTGTGAATGACGAGAACCTGATAATATTTGAATGGGTATTCTAAATTTGCCTTTTAGCTATTTATTTATTTGAGATAGAGTCTTGTTGCCCAGGCTGGAGTGCAGTGGCACGATCTCAACTCAATGCAACTTCCACCTCCTGGGTTCAAGCGGTTTTCCTGCCTCAGCCTCCTGAGTAGCTGGGATTACAGGCACACTTCACCGCGCCTGGCTAATTTTTGTATTTTTAGTAGAGACGGGGTTTCACCCTGTTGGTCAGGCTGGTCTCGAACTCCTGACCTCATAATCTGCCCTCCTTGGCCTCCCAAAGTGCTGGGATTACAGGTGTGAACCACTGCACCCGGCCACCTTGTAGCCACTTAAATAACAATTCAGTTCACATAAATACAACCATTTCTACAATAGATGTGTGTTAGTGTGTGTGTGTATGTGTGTATATATGTATGTGCAGATGTGATGGAGGAAGCCCACACTTTTCACTGTTTAAAATGTTTCTGGAGCAGGTGTTTTTGTGTGTGGTTTTAATTGACCAGTATTTAACTAGCTATTGTGACATTGTGTAGATGCCCGCAGAAGGTAATTGCTTTGTCTTGTTGTGAATTGTTATTTTTTAAAAGTAGATCTTTTCCAGAAATGTTATGTAGATAAGAGGGTTGTTAGGATTTAGAGGAAGGAGTGGGCTTTTTATTGCATGATAAGTCGATAAAACTTTTAGTGATCTGATTTTTTGTCAGCTAAGTAAGTTTTTAATACAAATTAATAAATCCTCCCTAGTCCAAACTCTTTGGCTTCGAAAGTATTATCTTGAAGTATAGTCACAGTTCCAGAAATTAAAACAATTAGCAGATGATGTGATTGCAGAGTTTGGTTGCTTCTACTAATAAATCAGACTGCTTATTTGTCTAAGAATGTTTTTGCCAAATTTGATATTGGACATTTAGGATTTTATTCACTTTACATTAACAAAGTTGGAAGATGAGAACTTGCTTTTTGTGTAGACCTGATCCAGGTGATATGTCTGGAAAGCAATTAACTTTCCTTTTCCATGTTAATTTTGGACATACATTTTTAAAATTAGTATGACAATCTTGTGAGAAACTGAGTATTCAGATTAGAAGGAAAGTTTTTATTAAATCATGGAACTATTTAAATATATGGAAATAAAGAGAATAATAAATCCCTATGTGCCCATCACCCAGCATTAACTTCTATCAACACATAGTCTTGAGAAAGATTGTTTTTATTGGTTTATTTTTTAATCTATCATTAACTTAATCATTATTGAGTGAGTTAACACCTGTTGACACTAATGCAGGATAACTTTTAAAAAATTACTTGTTAAAATTAGCCCTGGAGCAATTTGGCATTCTCCTAAGGGAGAAAATGGTCTATTGGGTAGACACATTACGCCCAGATCTTATCACTAGATCATGGCTCTCCTGGTTGTCACTCACTTTAGAGAGAGAGCTTGGTATCTTGATCTTGAGAGCACTGGCATCCAGTCTGTTCTGCAGCTATTTAATAGCTCTGTGAATGTAGACAAATCACATACCTTCTCTAACCTGTAGTTTCCTTATTTGCAAAGTGAAGATGATAATGCCTGTTTTCTGGTGTTTTATAAACATCAGGATTATTAATTTGCTTTATTTGTGTAGGCCTCCAGGACCCTCATGACTCTCTGGGGCCTGTGGTTAAGAGTTGTCACTAGCTCATACAAGGCTTATAAAAACAGACTACAGCGAAATAAGGTCTTTGGTAATTCATTTTCTAAACAGGCAGTGCTATAAAGAAGTTGGAAGAACCAGAATACCTGAGGCAGATAACTTACTACACCTGCTTGCTTTTCTTCCCTAAACATTTTCAGCTGAACATCTGTTGCAAAAGCAGGTAGTCAGTTCTGTGATTTTGGTGACAGGTGGTGCCTGCCATGATAATCAGTGTCTCAGGTTACTGCTCAGGAGACTTGTTTCTGATTGTCACATCCTGGTGCTTGCTTTTGTGATTTTAGTACCCAAATAGAATGTATTAAGGAATTAATTAAAGAAATTGTTTTATAGTGGTTTGATGCAGGAGGGGTGTATTATAAAATATACTGTTTTATAATGAATTGTTGGTAAATCTATTACGATGAAGATGCATGTAGCATGTGCTAGACTTCAAAAATATTAAGTCACACATACCAGTCTGTTTCACTGACTTGTTTTGGAGATCATGATTTGATAAAGTATGTTTTCTCAAATGTGTTTTCTTTGGTGTGCATGGAAAGTGTTCAGATAAATATAGTGTATTAACTAATGTTGTAATGTAACTATGCATAAAGTTGTAATGGCAGATTTTTTACACTAATTTTTAATACCTCATTTGTTAGCAGTCTTGCTTGAACAGTCTTTTTGAGCAGAACTAATACAATATTTTGATGTGCCACAGGTAAATTTTTCCATAACCTTATGGAGAGAAAGGACTTTGAGACATGGCTTGATAACATTTCTGTTACATTTCTTTCTCTGACGGACTTGCAGAAAAATGAAACTCTGGATCACCTGATTAGTCTGAGTGGGGCAGTCCAGCTCAGGCATCTCTCCAATAACCTAGAGACTCTCCTCAAGCGGGACTTCCTCAAACTCCTTCCCCTGGAGCTCAGTTTTTATTTGTTAAAATGGCTCGATCCTCAGACTTTACTCACATGCTGCCTCGTCTCTAAACAGTGGAATAAGGTGATAAGTGCCTGTACAGAGGTGTGGCAGACTGCATGTAAAAATTTGGGCTGGCAGATAGATGATTCTGTTCAGGACGCTTTGCACTGGAAGAAGGTTTATTTGAAGGCTATTTTGAGAATGAAGCAACTGGAGGACCATGAAGCCTTTGAGACCTCATCATTAATTGGACACAGTGCCAGAGTGTATGCACTTTACTACAAAGATGGACTTCTCTGTACAGGTAAGAGATGCTGGAACTGTTTTTTGGCTTTGTTTTGTATTTCGTAAGGTATAATCTCAAACCAGTTCTCAGCTTTGAGAATGACAAGTGTCGATTATATGAGATATGTACAGTGACTTTTTTTTCTCTATCCCTGAGTGGATTTTCCACTCTTATCCTTTATCTTGTCTCTAGAGAACACAATCATTTTTATAAAATTTTATGAGAAAAACGCTTCAGACTGTCTTAAACATTATGTGAATTACAAAGCTATTGATTACTTTTTCCCTCTGTTTCCTCCATGTATAGTCCTCCTTGTTGCTAAATTCTGTTTATTTTTCTGTTGGCACTGATATTTGAGGAAAAAAACAGTGGAAACATTGGTATCTAATCCTAGCAAGTAGTTAGATCATTTTGGCTGAATTGCTTATCCTCTCTGTATCTTTAAAATATGGAAAAGGAGGCCAGGTGCTGTGGCTTATGCCTGTAATCTTAGCACTTTGGGAGGCCGAGGCTGGTGGATTGCCTGAGCTCAGGAGTTCGAGACCAGCCTGGACAACATGGTGAAACCCCGTCTCTACTAAAATATAAAAAAAAATAGCCAGGTGTGGCATTGTGGAAAGGAGATATTTCTTCCTTGCTCTGAAATCCTGTGATTCTAAGTAGAAGAAGCAGAAGTTGGGAGTTTGGGCCGGGGAATAGAGAGTTGGATATTTTTAAACTAGGCAATTAAGTAACTTTATAAAACAATATAATTATTAAAAATCTAAAATTATACATTATTTTTCATTCATAATAGTCATGTGTTTCTGTATATAAGTAATGCCCATGTGTTAGATAATACGTTTTGACAGGCAATGTAACTAATTCTTAGGCAGCATTTAGAATAGCTCCAGGCAGTTCTTACTAATAATCCCAATGCCTGTTTTCTTATATTGTATATAATATATAGAAATGCTTGGTATTCTTTTTCATCCAAGAAAACTTCTAATAAACATTTGTGTATTACAGTATCAACTGTTCCTTTGTGTAAATACATCAATAGTCATCATTTAGCCATTTCCATATTAGTGCATGTATTAGTTCATTCTCAAAATGCTTAAAAAAAAAAAAAGCTGCCTAAGACTAAGTAATTTGTGAAGAAAAGAGGTTTAACTGACTCATAGTTTCACATGGCTGTGGAGGCCTCAGGAAAGTTACAATCATGGTGGAAGGCAAAGGGAAAGCAAACACCTTGTTCACAAGGCAGCAGGAGAGAGAGAGTGTGAGTGAAGTGGGAAGAGGCACTTATAAAACCATCAGATCTCAAGAGAACTCACTCACTATCATGGGAACAGCATGGGGGACCACCTGTGTGATCCAGTCACCTCCCACCAGGTCTCTCCCTCAATACCTGGGGATTATATTTTTCCATTTGGGACAGAAGCCTAAAAGTAGAATCAGCAGATACAGAAGTATGAATTAGTTTTTAGCTTTTGTTTTTTGTCTTTTTTTTTTTTTTTTTTTTT